CATATAAGTTCAATATTAACATGTTCTTTGCGAATAAATTACTGTTTTAGCATGGGTCAAAGTGAGCCATGTGTAGTCTTTTAGGGACAATGTTTATTGTCCTCCCTTCCAAAGCGAAATTTTTGAATACTATCTTGCAAATGGAGACTGAACTGCTGTGTTTAAAGGGTCTGCTTTGGTTTTGAAGAATAATTTAATTTTAAACTTTCAAGGTCAGAAAGGACCACTAAGATCATATCCTAATGACTGTTCAAAATCCCCTGATAATTCCTGCATTGGCCCCCTTGGTTTTGTATGATGCAGATTAGGGATAAATTCTGTCCTGTAAAATACAGAACACTGCTGTCTTAAATCTGTCCCAGGCCCTGTCCAGTTTTATTATTATTAATCCTAATTACTCTGTTTTTCAGTTCAGTTTTATACTCTTTGAAGAGGCAAAATATGTGGATCCAGATTTTAACCTGTACAGTTTTGATAGCTCTAGAAACAAATTGCCAGTAGTTTTGCTGCATGGTTTGTGGAACTATATTAGAGATTGTTCCTGTTGTGCTTTCTAAAATAAAGCATCAAAGAGCAGATAATGCACAACAGCCTCTAAGGAAAAGTCCAAGTTTGACCATTTTTTGTTTTGCTTTTGGCAGGAATGTGAAGAGGATAAATCTGCTCTTGTGGATGAATACTTCCAAGATCGTGTGGATGAGTAAAAACCAGGTGTTCAAAACTGGGAGGAAAACACCTTGCTTGTGTAAAAAATAAAAATGAAAATTAAAAAAGAGAAAAAAGTAAAGAAAAATGTAAAAAAAAACAACCCTCCACACAAACCTACTTGTTTTATCTGTAAAATAAGTGTATAGTGAAAAGTGATATATATGAGCTCATAACTATTTTAATAAACATTTTTTATTCTATCTGTGTGTGTTATAAAATACACAGGCTAGCATTAGTACATGTACAAACTCCCCACATAGGGATGTATCTCATTTAAGCATGGGAAAGCCTAGCAAATTCTGCACATCTAGAGGAAGGCTCCCCAGGATCCATGTGTGCAGCTCAGACGCACGTTTGTGCCTGTTCTGTGCTTCCTTACACCGAGTCCCAGGAACCTGGGGCAGAGCAAGTGATGCCAGGAGAGCTGTGAACACTAAGGAGAGCAAAGCTGCTGCGAGTGAAGCATCCCCACCGGTGCTTTAACCAAGCAGACACTCCTGGAGGAAGCAAGATGCCAAGGTGGCTGGAAAGGAAAAGGGTGGCACGGGGGAACCGAGGAGGGATTATTTGACGCTGGCCAGGGCCAGGAGCTGACCTCTGCCAGCCAGGAAGGATGTCAGGGAGGCACAGAGGCGGGGTTATCTGCAGTGCCGGCTACAGCAAAGACTGGGAGATGGGGAAAGAAGACTCCACGGAAGGGGGAAAAAGCAACCAAGCTCCCCTCTAATCGTGCTTGCAAGGCCCCTTCTAGGCGCGGGCAGGAGCGGGGCCCCTCGGGGCGGTGCGGGCGCCGCTCCCC